TGGGGGCCCTTCTCCCCGCAAGAAACGGGGACCCAATCAGGGAGGCGGTCCCTCCTCGTCACACCAGGGCCCAGAGCCCGGAGGCAAGAATGCCCCGAAGCCCCGCCAGCACGGGCACATCCACCATGAGGCTGACACCGTAAGCCCTCGTGGAACTATGAGTCCAGACTTCCCATCTCCCATGCCCCCGATGGCCGGAGATGCGGAACAACTGGAAAAGGAAGAACATGGGGACCAGGTCCTGGACCGCCCCGAATTCCTGCCCGCTTTCCGGGTCCCACGCCTCACTGACCGAGTTGCGATTGTCCAATTGGGTTTCCGTTCACGCCCCCTGAGAGATGGGGGGGGGAAACCTTCCCCGGGGAGGCTCAACCCCCCTTTTCGGAGAGTTTCCCCTTTGGCTACTTTGGGCGCCCTGATCATGACCCTTACCAGGCCCTGGATTGATAAGGTCCGGATGTCCCTGGCATCAGGTGCCACCACACACCCCTTCCAGGAAACCGACCTCGAGGAGCTGCGGGCTATCCTAGGACCGAGGCACCTCCATGAACGATGCCCAGGACAACCCTTCCTCCTGGACTTAGTGTCGCACTTGGCATCCCTTTCAGGTGACCCTGATTGGGAGTTCCCCCTAACACTGAAAGAGGGGGTCCCCTTGGGAGTCTCGGACCCTACCTTGACCTCCCCGGGAGTTTGGCCCACTAAGGAGGAGCTTAAGGGAGAAGCCTGGCTGGGGGAAGATCCCCCCCCGCCAGTGGCTCATGATAACTACCCAACGGCTGAACTCTTTGCCAAGGAAATCGAATCAACCTTTTACGAGGAACGAGCCTTGGACATGGTGGACGGGCCCTTCACTCGCTCCGAGGCGGCAGAGAGGTGCCGCTGCAAACCGGAGGAACTTTGCCCGGGCCCCCTTGCAGGGATTGATGAGTCGGACAAGATCAGGACGATCTATGATGGCTCAAAAGGGGGAGCAAACGCACACATCCAGGCTCACACGGAGGAGAAGACCACCGCACCGATGGTTGGAGACTGCCTCCATGCCATCCACTGGCTCAGGACAGCGGCGGACCATCCTCATCTACTCCGAGCCCCATCCTCGGGCACTGATGAGGAACCTCGGGATGTTCACCAGCCGGTGCAGGGGCAGTCCCCAGGTGCCGAGGGCCCTGAGAGGGACCCCCACAGCACCAGCCTGCCCCCAGGTGCCGAGGGCCCTGATAGGGGCAGGCGGATGATGGAGACCTCCGGCGGCCTGGACGTCTCTCCGCGGTCAACACCCTCAGGGAAGGGGCCACTCCCAGGTGCCGAGGGCCCTGATAGGAGGGCCCCATTCCCCCCAACCCCCCCAGGCACGGAACGCCCTGGGGGGAGCAGGGGGGAACCCCTGACGTGGCAGCCGCCGACACAGGGGGAAACCTTCATCATCCTCAAGGCGGATGTCACCAAGGCCCACAGGCGCATAAAAGTGCTCCAGAAAGACTGGAAATACCAGGTGGCCTGCATCCAGAACCGGTGGTGGGTCAATAGAGTGGGCACGTACGGCATGGCCTCGGCACAACTGTACTGGGGAAGAAAGGCATCCTTGGTGCTCAGACTCTTGTACTACATCTTCCCTCAGGTGGACTGGCACTTAGTTTTTGTGGACGACTACTGCTGGGTCCTCAGATGCAGCAGGGCGGACTGGGACGCCACAGCCATCCTGGCCACTCTTCTGGCGCTGGGAGTCCCGCTTTCTTGGAAGAAGACGGCGCTCTCCCCGGTCAATACCTGGTTGGGATTCGTGGTGGACCCAATCACGCCCTGTGTGCTGCTGGCTCCAGTCAAGCACGTCATAATCCTGGCCACTCTCAAACGGCTGGCCCAGGGGGACATCTTTACCAGCAAGGAGGTGGAACAAGCCCTGGGCCGGATTCAATGGGCTACTTCGGCGTGTCCATTGACGAAACCTTTCCTCCAGCCCTTTTGGAGCTGGAAGAAGGCCTGCACCACTTCGGGCAGGCCACCGAAGCTGGTTCGTGCTCTGGCCATCCTTCTGGGGAAGCTCTTCAACCAGAGGTTCCCACTGGCATCTCCATTTGCTCCCACACTTCCATGGACGGGGGCATCTGATGCGGGAGCTGGCAAACAGGCGGACCATGCATGGGTTGGTGGTTGGTGCTCGGACGTGCCCAACCCCGACAAGTCCCGAGTGAAGTGGTTCCAACACAGAATCACACCGGAGGGCGAGCCGTGGGCCTTCACTACTGGGGACCCGCAGCGGGCGATAGCGGCCTTGGAGCTCTTCGGCCTCCTCCTTTTGGTGAGGGCTGTTCTGCTTTGTGCAGCCGGCTCGGCTTCTCACACTAGGATTCTGGTTGCTAGTGATAACCAGGGAAACGTTTTCTCCCTGCTTAACGATTCCACTCGCAGGATGCCCAATGCGGCCATCCTCATGGAAATTGTGTTAACACTGCATGACCACCAGGTCATGTTAGGACCGTCGCATGTGAAGCGCGACTTTAACACATGGGCGGATGAACTTACTCATCCGGACCCGCAATTTCCGACTGAGAACCGGGTCTTCCCCTCAGTCGAAAGCGAATTGATCAAGCTGATCTTCGCTACTTTCCTTCCTCACCCATGATGCCGGGAGGGCATCCGGTGAGGTGGGAGGATTCCTCCCTCGCTGTGGGAGTGGCATCAATCCTACTCCCATCAGCTGCTGAGGGGAGCTGCCCAGTGGAACTGGGCAATCCTCCCATTTTGGCACTAACCCTTATGCGGCAATAAAGGAGGCACCGTTTTGCGAATAAGGCCTCAGTAGCACCTGAGTGGTGCTTCAAAGAGTCTTATGCACATGTGCAACTTTCTTGTTTTCAGTTGGGCAAGAGTTGAGAAATGGGCCTCCGTGGCCTCGGAAGTCACCGATGGTCCTGTTTCCTTTTGGGCCGGTTCCCTTTTGACACAGATCAACGCGAGCCTTGCTTGCCACTTGGCAACGGATCTTTGAACTGAAACACTTTTGGGTTGAAGCAGGCGGGATTTTCCGAATGTTGACCTCCACAAAAAGCGACAAGCTTTTTGCAGAGGGATCTCGCAAGCAACCAAGTTGTGGACGAATCGCAAGTGAGCAGGGGTTGCCCTCCCTCCCACTAACGTAGATGAACGAAACATTTGTAGGAGGGCACCTGGAAGATCGATTTCTCTTGAACGCTCCCCCTCTGCCAGGTGCCATGTTTGTGGGAGGGAGGGTGGAGGTTTCCATGCACCAGCCAGGTGTTGCATTGGTGAACTCTTATTCTGTGCAATGCTAGAACCCGGAGTGTGCCAAGAATACCACTGGGGCTCCAAACCTATTTACTAACATTTTGTTTAGGGTCCACTAAATATGAAACAACATCTGAACATGTTGTTTTCTGTGTGCCCCAGATGCGGACCAAGACAAAAGCAGCCCATCTCGAATACTTACTTGCTGGTGCTGAACCCTAGCGGGTCAATTCTAGGGTTTGCCACCCCACAGAATGACTGCTTTTGTCTTTGGCTTTCCTTCACAGCCACACCAAAAGAGTGCTTGTTTTACTTACTGGAGGTCAGTCGGGCCCGAGTTCATCAACCAAGGGGAAATAAACATGAACTGGAAGGAGATCCCGTACAGGAATCCACAATTGGATGGTTCATTTGGGGGGTCATTCCTCATTCCCGGAGTCTGAGAACCAGCAAAGTGAGTAATGTTGGAGAGTGATTAATAAAGGGCCCCTCAAACGAATTGGGGGGGGGTCAATGGCGAGAACCCCCCCAAAAAATGGGGGTCAGACTGAGACCTGCCTGAGTAGTCTTCCAGTAAGTATTGTTTAGAATTGGTTTAGTATTTGTTTAGTCTTCCTTTGAGCTGGCTCACTACGGTTTAGAATTGGTTTAGTGTTAGTTCAGTATTCTTTTCAGTTGACTCACTACAGTTTAGAATTGGTTCAGTATTGGTTCTTCTTCTTGGCAGGCTGCCCTGGCAATTGTTTTCACAATTCCCTACCCTTAAACAAACTGCATTATTGCCTTCCTGGGGGTTCCGTGTGCCACCCCCTTGAAAATTTGTCAGGGTGCATCTTCTAGTAAAGGGATTGATAAGGAATTTGGTGGTTTGGGACAGGAAGCAATCCAGAAATTCTGGACATTTCTGGCTGGACTCAAACGTTTCAACCCTCAAAAATAGTCCATTCTTGGAAGGGGATATTTTCGGGATTTCGGGCAGATTGTTTTTCTGTAATACCTACCCCTTTTGCTTTTCAGGAGAGTGAATAATTTTGAGATTCTTTTTCTGTATGCACTCCCGTCTTATTAATCGCTATCTAGCATTAGCACTCAAAAAAGCCTGCACTTGGTCTGCCCAACCGAATGGGAAGTGAGGAATACGGAGAGAGGTCACCATTCAACAATCTGGAATACACACATAGGTGTATATATATATATATTAGTGCATATATGTATGTACATGTGCCGTGTATATATGTATGTACATGTGCGCACATCTATACCCACATGTGTCCATACACTTTCATGTGGCACATGCATATGCAAACCAGCCTCTTCCTTGCGAATGAGGTTAGCTGCTACTGGGAAGCAGGCCTTTAACCGATGTTCAAGAAGCGCTTTCCATTTCAAGCGAACACCCCATCCTGGGACCTTGTCGGTCTCTACATGTTTGGTTCAGATTCTTGTTTTCAGTTGGGCAAAAGTGAGTGACCTCTTCTTTTTGGGATGGCAATCAGCAACCAGGGGTCCCTGAAGAAAAAAAACAATTGAGGGCCAGGACCTTTCCCTCATGGCCAATGGGGACGTGTGTTTCTCAAAATCGCGGTTTTCCCCTGTTGATAACAGGTTTAAATCATGGACTTTGTTGCTTCGAAGCTTAATGGGCGTCAAATGTCCCTGTGAAAAACAAGTATCCACAAAAGAAGACGCGCCCGGTCACCCAAATCCGTGTTCTGGTGAACTGGGCTCTGCCTCAGCTTGCCGTGTCGGAGGCAAGCGGAGCGTGAGGCCAAGGACGGGTTCGATTCGGTTCAGGCGAAGGCGAATGGTCTGGGCAACCCTTGCGGCAGCTCAGTTTCCTTCGCATTTGAGGCGGTTCCATGAACAGTTTGATGGATGTTCTCAAAGTCACTTTTGAAGCTCTTGTCTTGCGAGCCACTATTTGGCTCGTGTCATTTTGGGGATTGTTAAAGCGGGCACAGTGAAGTCCCAAACCTCTCCGCGTGAGGAAGCGGCGGCCGCGGCGAGGCCATCACCCTCACCAGAGCCCAAACGGCCCAAACCGGAGACGCCCGCGTCGCCGGCACCAGAGGCGAGGAACTGCTGCTCTCTTTCGTTCGCGGAAGGCTGGTTTCGTAGGTGTCCTTTTCAGGGTTAGTTTGCTAGGTCCCCCGCCCTTTCTCATCCCTTTGTTGGTTGGGAGGGTTCCCTTACTAAAACAGACTACAGGAAACAGGGACCTAGGTTCGTTTCGTTAGACATAGATGGGTTCCACGGCTGTAGATTGTTTTATGCCTCACGTATTTTGAACCAAAAGGTCATGTTGGTTTCCTTGTAAAGGGAAACCAACCGGATTTGTTTGTTTGAGCAGTGGGGGGCTTCTCCGATTTCGTGTCTATGTTTGTTTGTGTTTTTCTCCTCTGGTTCGCTTTACGACAGCATCCTCCATGGATGTTGGTTTCCCTGGGCCAAGTTTTGGGGTGGATGGCATGGAGCCCCGGCCTTTTGACAGGCGAGCTCCTGACAAAAGGACTTCCGCTTTGTTCGGGTAGCCACCCATGAATGTGTTCAGGTTCCTTTGGGTTTCCTTTGGCGAGAGATGCAGGGGTGAGAAATGGAACTTATAAACCATGCTGGTGGTGTGCTTGGGCCCCTGGGACCCCTATCGCACCTCGCTGGGAACTGGATTTGGAGTTGAACGGGTTTTTGGTTCTTGATGGCAGATGGGAAAGCACCCCGGAAGCTACCAAGCCACTGAGTGGGCAGCAGTTCCTTCACTAAACTTCAAGTGAGCTGGGAGGTCCCCTTGAGCTCGGAGCTTCGTCTAGAGGAAAGAAAGCATCGGACTCCTTGAAGCATCACCCGCACGCCAGGCGCAAGACAGCCCGGCGCCCGCGCAGAACACGCAGAACGCGCAGAACGCGCAGAATGCGCAGAACGCGCAGAACGCGCAAGGCGCGCCTGCCTGGGCAACGTTTGTCAACACCTAGTTTAAATATCAGGTGTTCACTGGCAGATTTGGTGGATAAATGGAATCAGCTCCGTCAAGAAATGGTCCCACTTTTCTGCCTTTGGGTCAGTAGCTACAACTGACAGCAGTGTCCTCATAGGGTGTGGAAGGGGGTGTTGCGACCTGTTTTTTTGGACAGTGACGGACATGGACAAGAAAGAGTCGTGCGGGTGGGGGGTCATTGCTTTGGGTCAACTGTTCTTTTTTCCCCTAGCTTTCCCACTGAAGTCGTGGGTGGGGGGTCATTGTGTTGGGTCAACTGTTTTTTTCCCCTGAACAGGGGTGACTTTGGTGAAAGAATGAGACCACTTGGGAGGGGCAGGGTGCCGGCGGAGGTGGCTCCATGCCTGGCTCGATGCCTGGCTCGATGCCTGGCTCCATGCCCGGCCTCGGCATGATGGACCCCATGCAGGCGCGAAGTTCCGCAGGGGTCGATTGGGAGGTGACCCCGGCGAGCCCACCGAAGAGTCCCACGGAAGTCCCATTGTACCAGACCTCCGGTGCCCCTGTTTGCTTCCCTCCAAATGCGCAATTAAGAATATTGTTTTTATTATTTTCAACAGTTGGTTTTGGAGGGAATCGGTCACTATCGGACATGTTTTTTCCGGGAGACTTACGCAAATTGAGGCTTCTGTTCACTGCAAAGGTGTCCCTTTGAATCAACTGAACGAAGGTCTCCCGAAATTTTGCGCCCTGTATCCCCGTGTCCAACCACTCCCTTTTCGTCGATGGGTTGTTTGTTTCGGAGTGGAACCAAGGCCAACAAGGATTCTACTTCTTTGTGGTACCCTAGAAGAAGTTGGATGCCCCAAGAATCGATTCGGATTAATCCGTGTCAACAGGAAAACTGGGACTCGGTGCTGAAGCGAAAAGCATCAGGCCATGATGATGGCGCAGATGGGCATGATGCCGCAGACAGGCAGGATCCGATTTGCGAGGAATTCGCCGGGAAGGAGGGGGGGGGGCATCCCATTAAAGATTGCTTTGGTCCCAGAAAGAGCTCAAAGTCTTCTCTGCCATGGTCACTAGGCAGCTGGGGCGGTATCCTCACAGCAAAGAAGAACTCGGACAACCACCTCCAAGGCTGATTGCATAGATCCATCAATGTGAACCGGTGCCATGTCGGACCCTTTAGTGGCTGACCTTAGCCTAAATCAAGCCCTTAATGGACGACGTTTTAGCTATTGTTGGTTGTGTTCACCTTTAATCATGGAGTGAGCGATTGAGAGAGAAGACAGACAGGGCCCTTTCTTCCAGATAATTATGCCCAATCTTTTCCACGCCCTTCGGGTCTGAGAATTCCTAGCGGGCGGTGGAAGGAAAGGACTTGGATGAAGGGACCGGGCGCCAGCGCGGCATCAGAGGTCCTTTTTGGTGCGGATTCGCTTTTGAGCAAACAACCAGCCAACCCTTCGCTACACAGGGTCTAAAATGAGCGACCCTAAGGATTTGAGCTCGGCCTGCCACAAGCATTTGAGACCTTCACGATAGACCCTAAATATGACTCACAACTCAGGCTGAAAAATATCACCCACCTGGTGGCCTGTGGTACCTGAGGATATGAACTGTGAACGGAACAGTTTATGTGTTCTTTTTTCGCCATGGTGGTTGGCATGCAAGCTGTTGGCAACGTTCTTGGCACGAAGGGTTGTAGTTTGCGTCGTTGTCCGGTTCTTTTTTGGGGGGGGGTCAGTTTGCGTTCATGCGTTGGTGAGCCAGTGTGGTCCTGTACTTGTTTAGCGGCTCGCTTTTGGCCTTCCTACCTGTCCGGTCACTGGCCCGGGACAAACTGCATGGATCATTGCAAGGCGTTTCTGTACTTGAAACCTGTCGGGTGGGCCAAATTTTAGTGGTAAACAAGTTCTTTCGACTTCTGACCAATCCACCAAAGCGAGATACCTAAAGCCGAGGGTTGCACTGCAGTGCACACATCCAGCCGGAAAACGGCTCCTTGGGATCTTCACTTTAATTACCTACCGAGGGTTGCCACGTGAACACATCCAGCCGGAAAAAACTCCTCTGATCGGATGCCCTTGGGATCGCGCTGAGGCCTGCTGCCAAACCTCATGGCCATGGGCCTGCCTGGCCTGGGAGGCGCGGCGGTTCGCCGTTTTTTTCTTCTTCTTTTTTCCCCCGCTTGCGGCCTGCGTCATTTGCCCAGTTGCCCAGTGGGTGGCTTCCTCTTGTTTTTCTGTTTCTTTTCTTTTCTTTTTTTTTGGGGGGAGGAAGTCATTTACAGCCTTTCTTCAGCAGTCGAACGCAGAGTAAGCTAGGTAGTGATTCACACATTGCTAATCTTCTCACCGCAGTTGCCCAGTGGATTCCGCCCTTTTTTCTCGTTTTTTGGGAAGGGTTCCCCTTTAAGCTCAACAAACCAAAAAAATAATATATTTTTTTGCCCATGGCCACTGGGCATCTGAGTTTAGGGTTTTGGTTTCTTTGGGGTTTGAGTCGGCAAAATAGGCACGTGGGGGGGGGGTCCTTATCCAGTGAGTCGGCAAAATTGTCACTATGTGTTCATGCCACGGTTGGAAGGGGGGTCCTTATCCAGCAGAAAGTGTCGAGAGGTTCCGGAACTGATTCTGGCCACCTAACATGGAACCCTCCAGGGGTGTCTTCCAGACCCCTCTGCGAGTTTCCATATGGATGGGACCAGGAACATGGGAGTCTTGTCTCATGGGAGAACATGTCGTGGGTTAGCATGTCGACTATGCCGGTCAAGCGCGGGGTAAATCCTGCTTGGGGCACTCGTGTCACTCCGCCACTGGTCCGCCACATCCAATCTTTTCATTTTGTTGAGGGACTCCAAGAACGACTATTTGAACAACAAGTACTGCAAGAAGAGGTCTAACATGTTCGAAGCTGTCATTGGAATCGGGATGAGACAGGATTGGGGGTAGATTGGGTAGGGTTATTGACTACCCAGCGCATCTAGTTAGACCAGGCCGACCCCAATCCACAAAATGGGTGTCGGTTTCGCTGTTCCGCTGCAAATCCCCAAAGAGTATCCTCAACAAAGGCCCTCCCAGTCTTCCCTTGCTGAGCTGTTCGACAACCTTCACCTGCTGGTTCCCAATGTCAAGGGACATGCCCATGTCAGCAATCATTTTAGGGACTTGCAAAAGAGCCGGGAAAGAGCACTTCCCACTTAATTATCAATGAGCAAACAAGCAGACTTTGGCCAAATATGGACCAGCGACGAACTCTTTTGGGTTGGGGTCAACAGCCAAGGTAGTTGCAACATTCCTGACCTGTTACCCCCTGTGACAGCCCGGGGGAGTCAGGAGAAAATCCTGGAGTGATGTTTTTGTTTCAACCCTTATTCCAGGGGTTGATTCTCCATTTCTTTCAATCATGGGTTTCTGGAGGTTTTCTGGAAAGAAGAATGGGGAAGGTGCCCCCTGGACTTATGGCCTGGTGGTCAAGGGACCTGGAGGCTAGACCGTGTCAAGACAAAGCTCAAGCCTCCAGTGCTTCCAAGTGCGTGCGTGCAAGTGTTTTTTTTCTCCCCCCACGTGCGACCAACAAAGCAACAGGAGGCCGACTTCAAACCGGGCTTTGTTGGCTTACAGATGCTAGGTCTCCCAGTAGTGCCCTTTTACCAACTTTTGTGGGGGAGGGTTCCCCAACTGAAATACACTACATAAGAAAGTTGGTACCCTTATTCTAATCTGGGGGTTGATTCCTTGTCCATGTTATTCAGGCATCGTTCTTTTCAAAAACCAGCCACTTCCCCAGGGTTTTTGGTGGTTTTCTAGAAAAAAGGATCCCTGAAATGCATGGAAATGGAAGCTACCCCTTCTAATGTGGGCTTACAGATGCTAGGTCTCCCAGTAGTGCCCTTTTACCAACTTTTTGGTTGGAAAAACGTTGGTATCCCTGAAATGAATGGAAATGGAAGCTACCCCTTACAGATGGGCTTCGTTGGCTTACAGACGCTGGGGGACCCAGTAGTGCCCTTTTGCCAACTTTTTTGGGGGAGGGTCCCCTACTCAAATAGACAGAAACAAGTTGGTGCCCTTATTCTAACCTCAAACTCCTGGAGGAGCTAGTAAACCTGAATCCAAGGCTTCCCCTTTTGGGTGTAATGAACCACCGGGTTTCTGCGTCTACCCCGGTTTCAACAAGATATGTGGGCTTACAGATGGACCAAAGACTTTGTTCAGTCCTCTCATGGCCCCATGGCATGGCGGCCTGGAGCTTCGCCCGAGTTCGCCGCAAAAGCGGCAGGCCTGCCAATGCCTGGCATGCCAGGACTAGGCCAGCCAGGGGGTGATTTTTTGTTTGTTTGTTCTTCTTCCTAAGTCACCCTTGTTGGAAGAAAAAAAGAACATGCACTTTGAGGTGTTCAGCACTTTTTTTTACTCTTAGGGGCGCTTCCTTTTGTTCTAGCAACAGTCAGCCTCGTTGCTTCATTGTTGTTGGATGTTGCTTCTTGTTCGCCGTTTGTTTCGGCTGTTTGGGCTCTTCATTCTGAAATCTCCGGGGGCTGCAACAGACAAGTCTGTTTTGCTAGCAGCTTACCACGTGTCAAGTCTTTGCATCCATGTGTCTCCAGTTCGCGGCGTGCACTAGGAAGTTATGTGTAGCAAACGCTTTGTTCAAAGCTGACCTCACGCTTTCTCGCTTGCCCAAGGGCGAATCGACCGGATCTGACCTTTTGGGCGTCTTGTTTTGGCAACCATTTCGTCCAGCTCCCACAAGGTGAAGCTTTTGGTCCCAAGGTCTCAAAAGGTTAACCTCTGATTTCCAGGTCGAGAACCTCAAGAGCAATCAGACGCCTTTCTCTCTCTTTTCGGGGGCCCAGTTGTTTCTATGTGATCGGTGCTGACCTGGACATGCGAACGGCCAACGCCCCTTTGCAGAGATCAGCTTTGTACTCTTGTCACAATGAGTCTTGGAAGCAACCTTACGCCAAGCTGGGGATGGACGGGAAGGTTTGACCCGCTGTTTGGTTGAACATAGATGGGCTCAGAGAGGATGTGTTGAAAGGAGAGGGTGCCTTTTTTGTACTCAGAAAAGGGTCAAATGGCTGGTTCCCATGTTTGCCGGCCCGCCCTGCCAACGGACCCAAAAAACCTGTGGTATGCGCTGCTATGTTTGAGGGGTTCTTTGCCTGCAACAGCTAGGCGCCCATTCCAAGGGACCTTCCAACTTTCCACAGGGCCGAGATTTTCTGCCCGTCCAAGAGGGCCTCCTCAGTGCCACTTTGTTGATGCCACTTTGCTTTCAAAGGGAGCCGGGGAATTCCACAGCAATTGGCCAAGAGCCTTTTGGTCAACACCGCTCTTAGCGATCAAGGGAATTCAACAACCACCAAACGTGTCCCCAGAAACTCTGCACAACCCTTCAAGATGCCAGACAAGAACAGACAAGACATGTGAAAAAGAACGACGCTGTGATTTGTTAGGCACAGATTTGGGGGACCGGACCGGCCTTTTGGGAGCGACCCTTCTCGTCAGGTCTGCCGGGACTTTCCTTGGGCTCTATGCCTTCCATGGCAGCCATGACCAACATGGCACCCATGGCAGGCGCGATTCCTCGGTCACCCCTTCTGCAAACAAAAGGACAAGAAAGAAGGAACACCTAAAGGAAACCTCCAATTTCCCTAAGGGAAAGGGGGTTCGCCCCTGTACCTCAGGTAACCCCTTCGCCCGTGTGGTATCCCCAAAGGAGCGGGAACCTTCTGGAAGGCAGAGATGCCATAGCCTTGGGGCTTGGGCTGTGCTCACAATCCATCTGACATCATCTGACCAATTATCCTTTCACTAGCTGCGCTCTTCCGAAATCCCCGGAGTCTTTGAAAACCGGGGCGGTCGAGTGGGCTGTAGGCGTGGTTGTGCGCCATACACGCCACAAATGAAGATATATAACCCCTCCAGATGAGTTGCATACACGCACACACATGTGTTTATGGTTATTTATTTATGTGTTCTTCATTCTAGACTCTTTTGTTTTGTCCAGTTTCATATGTCAGGTTACGGCCCCTTCTAGGAGCCGTTCAGTAGCCTCCGTGAGAACATGGCGAGAGCCAAGGCCGGCAGATAGGCTGTGATGTTGGATCGTTTTTACTCGGCTTTGGCACTTGGTGGCATGTACCCGTCTCAGTTTCTGAACAATCTGTTTGGATGTTTTTTTTTTTTTTTTTTTTTTTTTTTTTTTTCCGGGATCTTCTTCTCGACACTTTTTGGAGCTCTACCCCAGCCGCACCATGTACTGAACAGATCGGCACCGGTTTTCTCGTCACCGTGCATTCTTGTGTCCGAGTTGTTGGCACTCCGAGAAAGCAGTCCCTATAATCTTTGGCAGCCCCAGATTGCCTTGGGGTAAGGAAGCCGAGGTTCCTTGGTCCGATCGGAGGTGAGTTAAACATTTGGCCAGGCACTCAGCCAGCAGCCACGCCACAGACGGTGCCACAGCCGCAGGCATGGAATCCCGGATGGTGCTGCGTTAGCGTTTGGTGACATCCTGATAATCTTGGCCAATCAAAATGAAGGCGGACAAGAATGGGACATGGGTGCAATGTGATGTGCATGGCTTTCTTTGAGCGGGCCCAAGTTATATATATATATAATTGAAAGGGCAACCAAGAAGGAAGCTGCTGCCAAGGGTCCGATACACCCATCGTTTGCATCCCAGGTGTTGGCTTGAAGCCACGCCCAGATTAAAGGACCTGCCTCCCGACTCCCACCGCTGACACCCAAAGACATTTGACCGTGAAGCCTCATGCAACATATGTAGGGATCAGTTGCCCGCATATGTTCGCCTGCATTTGTTTTGCTTGTTGATTTGGAACTAAGTGACCTTATTTTCAAAATGGACCATAACATCCAAAAATTGAATCGAGGGCACTGAAAAGAAGCTGGTGCTTATAATTTGGTCTGTTTGGCTTATCCTTTAGGGGTCTGTAGGGGTGTGGTGATGGGCATTTGGTGACTCGTTGCCGGTGTCCGGTTGATTTCCCCAGCCGATCGCCATTTTGTTCAGGGGTTTTGGTGGTATTCTAGAAAGATCCCTGGAAAGAATGGGGAAGTTACCCCTAGAGCCCTGATAAATGGAACCAAGGACTTACAACCTGCGGTCCAAGTCCTGGTTTTTCTTTTGACCACCAGCATAGTTGTGCCAGCATGTTTTTGCACCTTCTTGATTTGGGGGTTAAGTGACCTTTTTTTTCCAAAATGGATCAGAGCATCCAAAAACATGGCAGCCGGCTGTCTCGCCGCCGCGAAACTCTTGCAATTCTGAAAGTCACGTGTCTTGCAATTCCAAGGGGATTGCGTTGTTTTTTTGATTCTTTTTTCATGCTGCTGGGGTGGGTGTTTTGGAGACGTTTTTTGTGTTGCGTCTTGGCTTGGAAGCAAACTGTCTCCCTGTCAGGGATGTTAAAACCTGCACAGGCGCGCGCTTTTCAGCCTTTGCAGCTTTCCGCATTCGTCGACACTGTCTTAGTCTTTGGCAACTGTTTTCCCGAAGGTACTTACAGCTTACATCATCATTGCCGAGAGCGATAGGGCTCCAGACGTGCAGCTCCGCAACTTGACTGTGCGCGAGGGGGCCTCAAGGTCTGCGGAGTGGATGGAGCAGCAGCCATGGGCGCGTCGAGAGTTGGTGGAGCTGCCGAGACTGCAGAGCGCACTCGCAGACAAAGTGTGTACTGAGCCAAATGGAAAACAAACCTGCAGGAGCGAGATGCAAGTTGATGGGCCAGCGCACGAACCACGGCAAGTATAAGAGGGATGCGGACTCTGCTAGAGAAGAGAAGGGGGAAGCGATCTTCAATCAAACGCCTTGAGGAAACTGAACCAAAGTGTCCAAAAAGTCAGCAGGGGAGAGGCAAGCTATGAAGATCCAGATACGCCGAAACAGAGAAAAGCCCACCAGCCGCGGATCAATCGCAAGCCGGGCCAGGGAAGCCCAAGGACAAAGGAAGCAGAAGGAGCGCGCGCATGGGCCGAAAGCAATTCGAGAATTCGAGGCGTCAAGCGAACGTTTCTTTTTAGCCCCCTTTTCCCCCACCCTTTCCCCCAACCTCCCCCCCGAAATCAGTCGAAAGACGCTTCCACGGCAGCAAACCAGCCGCTCTCCAAAAGCATCGAGGGCACTGAAAGGAAGCTCGTGCTTAATTCTACTCTGTTTGGCTTATCAACCCAAAACCCGAAACCCTTATCCCTAAGGTAAACTTCTTCCCAGGTGGCTCGGTAAGCTTCTTCCCAGGTGGCCACAGGCCCAGCGTTTGAGGCGAGCGCCCAGGCGGGATTCGAGTCCCGAGTTGACGCCCGTGCTCCTTTGGCCCAACACTGGGGTTCTATTTATTTGACGGTTTGTGGGGGTTATCAAAGTCACAAAAATGTGGGGGTCATGATTTTGACGGTTTCTGGGGGTCATCAAAGTCAGAAAATGTGGTCGTTTCCCTTTCAGCCACCACTGAACGGGGGTGGGCCCAACTCTTTTCCCAGTTGAATGGCACCCTTTCTTTCCTTTCCTTTTGTTTCGGGGTTCCCACTAAAATGGGGTCGGCCGGTGTCTTTGAGGAACCATCTTTGTTTTTTGTTGAGATAACTTTCTCCTCCTTGGCTTTCCTTCATCACATGTTCATGAAGATGTGGCATTCCCAATTGTTTCACTGACCTCCTCATGTCACAGCCCGCTCACCTCTGCCCATTGCAGTTCATTTCCTTTGGTGTATTTTGCTTGGGTGTTAGGACTTTAACTTTTTGACAACTAATTTGGGTTTTCCGCATTAGACCACTAAAAGATATTCACTTTTAGCAGGGCTGCGATCAGATTTCGCCACCGAGTTTCCTCCGGAGGCCTAAATCCTTGGGCCAAATGTTTCCAGCTCGCCCGTGCGAAAAACAAGCAAACAAAAAGCGGGAGCTTGGCAGCCCGCAGGCGCCGCCTCCCAAGCTGCCGCCCCAGGGACTGCCGCCCGGCCGGTGAGAACGGTAGCGCAAGTTTGTTTGTATTATTTGATATATGTTGTTTTCGGTTTAGGCAAAACAAGCAAAACATGTGTGTTACAATGTTTGTTTGTTTGTTTGTTTGTTTGTTTGTTTGTTTGTTTGTTTGTTTGTTTGTTTGTTTGTTTGTGTTTTTTTGGGTTGTTTGTATGTTGTGTTTCTTCTTTGCACAAAACAAACACCACATATATGTTTATGTTGGTTATTTGTATTCGTTGTGTTGGTTTGCAGCAGCTGGAAGTTGGGTCTGTGCCCAGACGGCTCCGCAACGGTTTGTGGAAGGCTTCCCGGGGTTGCTGATGGGGATGTTGCTTGTTTTGTGTTTGTTTGTTTACTTTGAAGGGGGGGGGTGCAGCCAGAATGTGCCTCACATCCAACCTGGATCTTTGACCTTGTTAACTTTTGGGGCAAGTGTTTTCTCATTTGCCAGCCCAAAGGTCATCTTTTTTCGCGGGCCAATAGCCGAACAACGACTCACCGAGGGGTTGAACGAGATTACCCATGAAGGTTCCTTTTGGAACTCAAAGTGACAATAAAGTCATGTTATACTCTATGCAGCCTTTGTTGCAAGAACCAGTTGCCAGGGACGGCTGTAACGCTCTTCGGCCAGTTCCCGGACTTGGATGATTGGACAGGCCGTGTTTGATGGTAAACAACAAGTGGAGACTTGTTCGGCTTCCATTTGATCAAGAATCGTTTTTTAGTGTTTTCTCACCTGTTGCTTTTGAAGGGAATCTATCACTACTGAATTATTTTCATTTGTTCCAGGGGACTTAAGCAAATGGAGGTCGGTGAATCCATTGAAGAAGTGAGGAACGCAAGATTGAACGAACCACAACGCATGAAGCCATCCGTTCGGGATCCTTCAAACAAGGCACACACAGCGAGGAAGTCTTGCCAGGCTTTGTCTTGAGGCTTGATTCGTACTAAGACAATATTTGGATCTTATGCTTTAAACTTCAAAGGAAGATCCCTCCTGGGATCCCCTATGGTTCAACCACCGAGAAAAATAAAATCTTGTGAATCGGGCTCTTCCAATCAGAGGGTCCGTTTGGGTTTCTTCATAGGGCTCTTGGCTCCTTTCCTGAGGTTACAGTAACTTCCGTTTGTAATTGCTTTTGTTGAATTCCCTGGAATCCTTTAGGTTTAACTTCAATCCTGTTAGGTTCATGTTCAATTCTTTAGGCTTAACTTCAATCCTTTCGGTTCATCCTTAATCCTTTAGGGGATCCTTTATTTGTTTTGTTGTAGCTTAGTTTCCATGGCCCAGGGTTATCCCCCCCCCCCACGTCCGTTTCCCCATCGGCGCATCGCCCGATTTTTCGCCCCAAGGCCCCTGCCGCCTCCGCCCAGCACACCGGCGCCCAGCGCGACGATGCCGGCGATGCGCTTTGCCGCGGCAAGAAACCGAAACCGCCGAAACGGCTGGCTGGGGTCGACTGCTGTTTGGGGCTGCCTTGTTGGTTTTTTTTTGAGAAGGGCGGCTTCGGGTTTAGGTGTGCCTTTTTTGGGGTTCCCATTTATGGGATGGGCTTTTCTTAGCGGACAGGGGTGTTGGTGGGTCCAAGTCGGGGGACCCCCGAAGAAACCCTTGTTCCCCCCCCCACTTGGGAATTCCATAAAAGTTAGCAGCAGAGAAACCTTGTCAGAAGCCGAGGCAGCAGCTGGAGCCGCCAAAGCCGGTGGAGGACAGCGATGTAAGTTCTTGTTTGCGTAAGATTGCCCATAAATATTGCTTCTCCCAAAAGGAGGCCAAGAGGCGATGGGTATGGGCAACTTGGGTGATTCAGGCGAGTTGTGCAATCCTTTTGCATGCAGAGGAGTACCTGACCCAAACCCCCGTCGACCTTTGTGCTTGTTTTGCGTGCTTTTGAACGGCTTCGATCCGTGTAATCATGGCACACTTTATTTTAGCAGTTCTTTGGATGCGCGACGAAACACATATTTACGCGCCAACATGTGCTACAACTCATGAAAGTGCGTACATATAAGCCTCAAGGTGCTGCAGCTTGTCCAAGCATCCAACACCAAACCGCGTTGGATCATGGTCCCAGCTATTTGGTGGTAGTTACTCCCTTTTCGTTTGGTTGGTTCCTGGTTCCCCCACCAGCAAAGCGCGGAAACGTTCCTGAAAAGGGTTACCATGTGTTGCCAGGATCGCTTGTAGGGCCCGCTATGTTACTTCCCACTTGAAATCTTGACCGCCGGCTTGCCGGGGGTTCCGCAGGAGCCCTACGAGGAACATCCATACTTGGACGAGGAGGAGGAGTTGAGGGAGGGAGAGAGAGAGAGAGAGAGAGAGAGAGAGAGAGAGAGAGAGAGAGAGAGAGAGAGAGAGAGAGAGAGAGAGAGGGAGACCTCAAGCACTACCAACAACTGCCTTTTTCACGTGCAGAACATTGCCAACTTCTTGTTTCCAGGATAAAAGCGTAGCCCCAAAGGAGTGACAAATAAGAACCCAGTCATAGTTGAGGGTTTTGTGATTTGCCCAGTCTCCTTGCTCGCAACTGACCTTTGGACCTCCCCTTGGTCAATTTTTTGAGCTCGTAGGATGTCAGAAGCTAAAAGCCTTTCTTTGTTCTTTGTCCTTTTGGTTTACCTTTTCGACATGTGTTTGGCAAGGTCTCGCTGGGCAAGCGGGACTTGCCTCAGGAGCCCAAGTACTACCCGCCTCCTGAGGGCCTGCCTGGCCCGAAGGGCGACTCTGCGTCCGCAATTGCCGCGCCTCGGACATCGATTCCCCACCGAACCTCTGGAACCTCGGGGACATCCGGCCCCCTCAATTTAAAACGCGCCTAAGTGTTTTTTTTCTTTCGGTTTTCAACTTACAGGCCGGCCTCACAGCCCTGCTAAGGCGCGCCATATGCTGGAGACTGCAGGGGTGGAGACCTGGTTCCTGAAGCTGCCAAGTGGGGACTGGGAGGAGGCCGGTCCCAAGGGCAAAAGAGTCGGAGTGTGGCGTGCGGTTTGCGTGCGTGTTTCTGTGTGTGTATTTGTGTGTGTGGCACAAGCTAGTGCATGCAGATGGTTGTTCTTGCCGGCGTTCCAAGTACTGGATTTGGGGTTCAAACGAGTTTTGTCAAAGACAAATTCCCAAAATCCCCGCGAACATGCGGTTGCACAGTTGGGGGGATATAGCTCGTGGCAGTTTCAGCAGTCAGAGCTGTCCCCCAGGTTGGCCGGCGTTTCAAGAGAATAGAAAATCAAACTGGGTCCCCAATATTTTCCCGTTTCCTTAAAGGGCTCATAGCGTGATTGTGTAAGCCAAGTTTTTAGCCTATCCTGGCACTATCCTAAAATTATGCTCGGGTTCCTTGTGGTGTCCTCGAGAAACAAGCTGCACAAAGGGTAACCAACTTGCCCTTGGATCTCTTTTCCCGTCCTTGACTATCTTGAAGGGTACATCAGAGATCCAACCACCCGCTTCGCACGGAAAAGCCGCTGCAGTTGGTGAAGCTGTTCCGATTGTATCCTAGGGACCCAGCCGCAGACCCGCAGACCTTGAGACCCCTTCAGGTGGTGCGCTTTTGGCCGCCCCCGGAAGATCTGGACTTGGCACGCCCGCCCAAGCTCAAGCGCAAGCCCCGCTTGGACAAGTGGCGCCTTGCCCACATCATTTGCTGCCGAATGCAGTTGCCGGGTTTGTTTTGAGAGAGGGCTGCCTTCTAACTATGCCACCTAGGGGTAGCCGACCCTTTCTGGAGTTGCTTGAAAGCGGGCTCAGGGACGTTTTTTCGGCACGCCCAAATATGGCGTGACATTATTTTGCGATGAATTGCGCACTAAATGTGTTTGCCAGCTTTTGAATGTAGTTACATGCAGGGAAACATTTGGGTATAAGTTGGGCGCAAAGGCTGAGGTATGTACCCTCCCACCAAGTAGCTTAGGAGCAATGGTGAACATTCACCGCCGTCTACATACTGGCGAACAGGGGGTAACACGAGTACCTCATTTGCCAAAGTAGCATCCAGAAGCGAGGGTTAGCCCCTCAATCCGTCACCTTGGCGTACCACAAGCTCACCATGATGTTACATGTAGGTTCTTTGCTCGGGTATCCCTTACTTTTTGTAGAACTTGCAGGATATGTTAGGTACAGAACCTTCTCGAGGAGGGACATCAACTCCCATTTTCAGGGGGCGTTGGCCAGAGACAGCCCTGCAACACCAGATATGAACCCGCCGGCATTTGGTGGCCGAACGGCGACCCGGCGAAGGTTTCCGCGATAAAGAAACAAAGAAGCAAGCAAATCAATGAAGCGGCAAAACATATCGCACATGCAAAAAACAAGTAAACCATCAAGCAGCCCTTCACCAATATATAATATAACCAAAGTGAAACATCATGAAAGCTACACAAAGCAAGACATCAAATGCACAAGAAACGATACACATCTAAACCCCACGTAATATCGGATTCACCAACCCCCCAAAATGGGATCCAAAGCGGTTTTGACAACCACAGCCGTATGTGCAGTTAATATTAGGTCCATATCAGCTGGGTCCATATCAGCTTCCAAGTTGCTGGCCCCTTGGAAACCCACGCGCCACGCGGAAACCCACGCTACGCGCCGCTGCTCTCAGGAAGAGTCGGCCCTTGGCCATGCGATGCCAGCGCCACGAGGAGATGGTCAGAGCCCTGCTGACGGCGCAGCGCCTTGGATTCCGGGCTGAGCGAGCGGCTCAGGGAATGTCCCCTGCGGTCATTTTGGGCTTGGACCATGTTAGTTGTAAATAAACAAATTCAGACTTTTTGGGCCCATCCACACAGGAAGCGACAGGAAGTGAGATTAGGGTGTTGGTTTGTTGGTTTGTTGGTTGATTGGCTTGACTTGGCTTGGCTTGTTTGTTTGCTTGCATGTTTGTTTGCATGTGAGGGTGCAAATGAATGTGTCCTTTTCTTTTTAGGGGAACCTCCCCCAGAATGGTTGGGTTCCTTTTACTTTCCGTTTAACAAACCAAGCAAAACGGTACTCCCCGCAAAGAAAGGGACACACCGACATGGGTCCTTTGGGCAAGTGAGCCGTTGTTCAACTTGGGAGGAGTACACGCCAGGCTCAATGCCTTTTGGGAGGATAGGAATTGCTCAAACGCGCTTGGACATCCACGTTGTGGAACACACGCGCCATCCGTGGCAAATGACATGCCTATTTTATCATCCCCGGTAAAATCAACTGCCGGTTAGGAACCAGAGGCGTTTCTATGCCCCATGGCCACCGAAAAAGGGGGGGGGTCTAGGTCCAAGGATTGTGTCCAGCAGATGTTCCATTGCAGGCCAGTTCAATCAACCACTATCAACAAGTTTGGCATCATAAGTCGATTTGGGTGTGTGTAATTCTTTAGAGTTTTGGGGGGATAATCGGATACCACCCTATTTCGACACATGCCACACCATGGCCTTTGTGCTTGGTCCGAGCCGACAATTGCGCGAACTGTGCGAATGCACACGCGTTTTTGGGGGTGTTTTTGGCCTTTGGGCATCAGATTGGCATAGGACAAGTGATGTTTGTTTTTTTTTTCCTCCCCCGTTTGGGATGATTTAGTGAGATAGATACATTGGTTACATTCGATGGTTTGCTCCTATGATTATTTCGAAGTTTGGATGGAAACGTCTCCCGCAACCTTGTTCTAGATACTTAGGCCCAATCAGCAGTAGGTCTTCCGGCCGTCTTAATCAACAAAATTTAAGCAACCGTACCCTGATGAATTAAACAGCATTGGTTTAGATATGTTTAAAGCTGGCCCCGGCATGTGTCAGGGTCTCGTGAGGATGTTTGATCCCTTTGAGCAACAACGTTTTTGTGTAGGGATTCGTTTCTTCCAGAAAAGCCTCTGATCAACTCTGGCCACAAGGTGTACAGAACCATAGTTTCCAGGAGGATGCCGGGAATAGAGACTGCTCCAATGGTGTGGGTTCGTGATGGACTGTTAGCCTGCAGTGGTTTAGCCTTCTCTTTCCGGCAATTGTCATGCTTACCCCCTCCCCATAGCTATACCCAGCTTTTTACAATGTTTTCCAACCTACTACCAAAGTCTGGGAAGCTGCTAGGTGAGTGAAAGCAGATGGCCACACTTTCTCCGGCTTGGTGTAGCCATCCCCATGACTTGCTGAATTAAAGGGAATTATGCCATCTACGTTCACCTTGCTTCCAATTGCTTAATAATATGTGTTGGCTTCTTTTTTGGATCCGCCCGAGATGGCTCCAGATCATGCTACCTTGGGCACTGGATTTTACGGGCGTGGTCCCTGACCTGGCACGGGGTTGCTTCAAGGACGAAGGAGGTCGTGTCCAAAGTGAAACAGGTATTTGGCATTGAGGCCCCATACGAATGGTTGGGTTGAAGTGAAACCCTCACTGGCAATTTTGGATCCGAATCCAAGTCATATGATTTGCCCTTGGTGTGGGTAAACTCACTGAGCGACACAAGAGTAGACTGGGAGCGAGGGTTGCAGAATTATCGGTTACGCGTAAACTGGGGCTTCGGCTAAAGCCTTGTCCGCGTGAAAAAGCACAGCGACGTCACCAACGTTGGCACAACCCACCTCAAAACGAGTCACGGCTTGGCATGCGCCGGGCATTCTGCACCCTCATGGCTATCCCTGAGCAGCTGGCTGCGGTGAGGGAGAAGGCCAGGCAAAAGGAATTGGGGTGGAGACCGCGTTGCGAGACTTATCTCACCTGGTTGCCTCTTTACGTTTTTTTTGGGAGGAGGGGACCCTAAAAAAGACACAAATTGAAAATAATGTTTTGCGGGTCCCCTGCTTAGTCAGACACGCCCTTTGAAGGTGGGTGCTGCTTCCGCGGCCAGGGCGGCTTTTACTGGCGAGAAAGTGGCCCCGCCGCGGCTGGTGGCAGTGAGCAAGACTAAGCCGCTGGAGGAGACGAAATGCTTCCATTTGGTTAAGAATATGTGTTATTTTCCCCTGTTGGGACAATTGTTGGAAAAACAACCTAAAATAATAAAACAAAATCCCTGTTGGTATTACAGGGAATCGATTTCACTACTGGAAATATCTTTTGTTTTTTCCAGGGGACTTAAGCCAATGGAGGAATGCCCACCCCCCAGCCCCCCACCCCCACCCCTCCCCACCATTCTCGGGTGCTAACTCGCCCATGCTGTGAGGTCGACAAAATGCACCAGTCGGTTCGGGGGCAAAGTATCCAAGTGGTGCAGGACTTCGTCCATTCACAAAATGGGTGTGTTTCTTTTTCAGGTTGGATCCTTCCAAAGTGGCATCGGTTTTCCTTTTGGCTTTCCCTCAAAACGCACCCAAAACGGGGTACCCCCCACACAAACACGAACCCATATTTCTTGCATCGTTTGGATAGTTATCTCATTCGACTGGTCCAAAGCTTGACAGCTTGCATACGCTGAAGGTGGCGTTTCGTTTTGCACAATCCGGTTCATTTTCTGCGCAGAGGATTTTTTGGTCACTCGGCGTCTCAAGCAAACGGACTCCCACTTCAATCCCAAGGTGGTGGGTCCAAAGCGAATCACTTGCAAAGGTTTAGGTGGAGAATCCCGATCCTAAGTGGTCGGGTATCCCAAAATCCCATCCGACTCAGGGGTCTACTACTCACTTCCTGAGTTCCTGGACTTTGAGCTTTGTTTGGGTACACCATTTTGGTGGTAAACAGAAAGTTTGGACTTTTCGGCCAATCCACTCAGGAAGTGATCTACTCTCCCGCAGATTAGCGCGGACTCAAAAGCCACGTTCACAGGCCAAGCCTCCGCATTCTCCGCCGGTCGGAAGCTATGTTCCTGGTCAGGATCTCAAGGCCGCGTATGACGCCGGGCACCGCCCTTCGGCACAGTTTTGTTTTTTGTTTTGGGGGGCCGCGCAGGCTCAGGGCTCCATGGTTACATTGTTGGCGACCACGGGAGTGACGCACACCCAAGGCGCTGCACCTAGCTGATGCAGCCACCAGAGGTCCGACAGAAGCCAATTCAAGATGCAAGGGCCCAGGGCCCAGTCATTGTACCCTCTTTCCAACAATCATGGAAGTGCACAAAGGGGTTGCCCAAAAGGAAAACAGTCTTCCAAAACCCTCCTGTCAGCTTCCATGATTGTTGGAGGGAGGGTACATATTTGATATTTGGGAAGTGAACCACGTGGGTTTTGAGTCCTCCTGGGGGGAATCAAATCATGGAACACTGCCTGGGCTACTCCCGAGCCGAAGTCATGCTAGGGGTCGTCTTCGGCGCAGTTCCAAGCCCAAGGGGCCCAGCCCTCGATCCACGAGGCATGCCTTCGTTCATTGCGCGGGGTGTTCAGTGGCTGGTGCCAGGCAAAAAGGGCCACTCGAGCGATCAAGCCCAGGTGGTTTGAAAACCTCCCACCCCCAGCCCCAAACCCGGGCGGCCCAGACTGTTCCTGGGCTAAGCTGACGCGTGACACGTGGCTGAGGGCACTTCGGAGAGAATTATGTCCAGGACGGCGTCGGCGAAGGGTTGTGGGAAGGATCCACATAATTATAGAACAGGAGCCTGTCTAGGGGCTGGACTCCTGGGTTGGACCATGCGGGTTTGAACTTCCCTCCCAGGCTCTATGGGACATCATGGGGGATGTATTTCCGGCAACATTCAATACTTTTCTCATCAGAATTAGCCGTTTTGTTCAAAAGTTTGGCCCTGTATGTTGGGAACGGGAAGCCGAGAGCGGGGAAATTGAGAGGCCCTTGACGAGGGGATTCTTAGGCAAGGGCGGGGTTAAAATGAGGGCTCTTTGAGCTGGGGCTCGCGCCGTTTCATCCCGAAGTGGTGCCTTGTGACAGGGAAATGGAGGGACCTCCTCAATCAGGACTTTCACACTAAGAGACTTGTCAAGCAAAACGCGCTTGAACTCTAAATGGTCGTGCTTTTTCGGGGGTCCGCGCAAAAATGGCTGCGATGTTTCTTTGGTTTTCCTTCAAACACTAGAAAACATTGGGTATGCCTCAAAACAAGGCACAAATTGTTGTTCTGGTCGCTTTCCTTTGGTGCCTCGAGCCCAAAAGTCAAGCCCTGGGACGCGAACCTCCGGCCAGCGGTGTGTGTCCAGCCTCTTTCTCCCAGGGTGCGCTTGGGCCAGCTCCTTCCTCCCGGGATGACTGAGAACCTATGGACAAAACCCCCTGGTCGACAAGTAGGGAGGGGGTGTTGTATGGAAATGGGAGGAAAAGCATGAAAAAGCGATGTGTATGGCAGGAAAAGCGAGGAAAAGTATGTTCTTTCAGTTCTTTTTTGGGGGGAAACGGTTGCTCCGGGGCAAAGCCTCGGGAAACGCCCTGAGGAGCTGGTGGACAAGTTTCCGCAGATGCCCCCGGACGTGCAGTGGCACTTCATCGGGCACCTGCAGAGCAGCCCTGCTGTGGTGAGGTCGGCTGATCAGACCATGTTACCACTGCGGTTTTTTGGCTCGTCAGTGCCTAAACCGGCTTCTGGCGGTGTTGTCGGGTGAGTTCTGGCGTTGCCCCCAATATATATATATATATGTATATATATATATAGATATATATATTTAAAAACAAAAAGTCAGCTCAATTCGTTGCAAAGCCCTGACACCCTGGGGGCGTTCAAAGACCCATTGAAAGCCCCAAATCGTCCCCAAAGCACGACAAGCATACGCAAAACAGTTTGCGAGCTCACTACGTCAGAGGTAAAAGGGAGCT